GGTGATGTTTTGTTCCTTGGCAATGGTTTGGATGTTTTCAGGAGTCAGTGTCGCCAGATCTTGGTAACAGACCTGACAGGACGTGAAAGGCCACAGTCAATCTTTTACAGTAGATGTTGTACAGGCCGAGCTTTTCATACTAAGAAGATGTGATCTGAATTTGATGCGGGTCATGTAAACAACATATTCTGTTGAACAGTCCCGATTAGGAATTTTCCAAATGCAGCATTTGCAGAATAAGACATGTGGGACAGACTGCTATTATTTGGGTTTCAATAGTAGTCTTTGGACATGTATACAGTGCATTTGGGGGTTTCTATTGCATGTTTGCGACATGCGGCCTCGTGCCTGTTTTCGGTCAGCTCTGTGCGTTGTCATGGATACATTGGACACAAATCAACTCGCCAAGTTTCCAAGGCTGTGCGGTAGAGATGCATGCCCAAAAAGAAAAGCCCACATTTCTGGTCAGAAGGAGAAACACACCTAACTTGACTTGGATATGAAAAGGGTTTTGGATTTGCGCACATACGGCAGCGCTGATCTTTTCAAGACGGTGGTTGAAAGAAAGAAAGCGGGAGACTGTGTTCGCCACTGGTGGGAAAACTTAGCCAAAAATCCTTGCACAAGGGACAGTCATTCCACCTACCCATATTTTAATGTGATAAACATGTTAGTGCACGTTAATCTGAGTATTCACAGCTGCATTTGAACAGCAATATGAGCAGAATATTCATTTTCATTAGCCATGTTAACAGCTTAGAAGAAATATTGTCTATTTTTTCTGAATATAAACTGAATATTTTGTGCATGTAAACACAGTCCGTTCTTTAACAAAATTGGAAATAGCCGAACAAGAGCTGCAACAATTTGTCCACTTATCAATCCGTGTATCGACAGAAAAATCATCAACAACTATTTTGATAAATGATTAACCGTTAAAATAATTTTTATGGACAAATAATAATAACTGTATAATTTAATGCAGCCTCATACACACGTGCCCTGCTAATTAAAAACAACAACTTTCACAGTTGTGCCTCACATCTTTTAGCCTATTTCTGCACATACGGACGAGGTTGGTGTACCTGGCAGTGGTTCCTGGCCTGCTCCCAGGTGAGATTTCCCGAGTGAAAGAAGTAGTCTTGTTTTGCAGCGCTGCACGTCAACACCAAAGCTGAAGGAGCACACAGAAAGGAGATGAGCTGTTTGTGTTGACACAGGTTTTTTAAAGTCGGGAGGAACTGATATGATCTGACAGACGGGACAAAAGCAAAGCATAATGATTTTCTCTTTAAATTGATTATTTTGTCCAACCTACTGACTCAACAGTGTCTACAGGTTAAATATAATGCTTTATTTTGAATTTAATGCTTTTCAAGACCTGTTTAAGACACCGTGTAACCAATTTCAGGACAGATTTTTGGACAAATTATGTTTTACCTATTTAAGCATCGCAGGTAAGAACTGCAGGTAAATCGTATACGTGTGGTCTCGTGCAGAGAAAAGGGTTATGTAGGAATATGGTTATTAGAGCGAGTGAAGTCAATCTGCATTTTGCCAACAGGTAAGTGCAAGTATGAAGTAAAATTACAGTATTATATTCTTAATTTTCTGTCAGTTGATTAATCGACTAATCATTTCAGCTGTAACTGGTGACTAAAGCTGTCAGATAATTGTATTGCAGTAAAAAGTACAATACTACGTATGAAGTGGCAGTGAAGAAAATACAGGGTGTCTGCAGGTATGAACAAATTAAGACTTTAAAGACTTTTTAATACCACTTTAAATTAAACACGAAACTTGTGATGGAAATACACACCCAAAGTTAATTATACTCTTTCCAAGTGAACAAATGACCAGTAAGGTAAAATGACACAGAGGATACTTTCTGTGCTTACGGCTATAGGCACAGAAAAAATAAGCTTATGAGCAGGCTGGCGAGCGCAGCCTTAGTTTCATGAGGAAGACTCATTGTGTGATCCAAGTATGTAGAGGGGGCGAAAATGGGTGCACTGAGCGCATACAGGTGTTGTGTCAAAGTCTGTTCCCCCATTGAATCATGTTTCCCTCCTGTTAAAAAGATGTTTCCTGAAGCATCAACACCAGAAATCCTCACTGTGATGTGACTAAAAAATATTTACAACCAATTTACTCTGAATTTAAGACATTTTGATACTTTTTAAGGCCTTTTATTAATAAACATGCATAAATGACATTTTAAAGGCCCGTAATCACCCTGAAAATTCTAATAAAAGCACAAATACTTAAAGGAGCTATATGTAAGAAATCTAAAGCAAATAGTTGTAAAATCCTCCTAATATGTCACAGAGACTAAGGAATAATGTTCATATAACATACTGATCTCACCGACAAAACTATAGTACAGCCAGAATATTTGCATCTAAAAAATTTTTTTTGCAGTCTGCAAATCATGTTTATGTTTTGAATTTGTGTTTTGGCCTGTTGCATCACCCACCGCCGTCTACCAGTCACGCAGTCAGTAGAGTCTCAGCATCAGTTACAGCTACAGCAGCACGGCAAGCAGCATTAGCAGTGTCCCTAGTACATTTGGCCACATTCTTACATACAGCACCTTTAAAATATGTACTTGAGTTACATTTTGTAAGTGTTATCTTTCTCAGAACTGGTGGTCATATTTCACCCTTTTTTGAGAATTGGGACAACTTATGTCCTGCCAAAAAACACTTAAAATTATAACTTATGAACACACTAAGTTTGTTTCCGGGGTTAAACATTAATTTTTAAGTGTTTATATTTAGGAAATAAGTATGATTCATAAAATAGGTTGATCTGCTTTCATCTATTAACTTCTAAACTTGCCCCGTGCCAGAAAACACACGTCCCAGACAAATAAATCACAAATTTAAACTATTAAAAAATGTGTTAAAAGCCTTCAAAATCTAAAACGAACTGTACGTACTGATAACATCGGTGTAAAAATGTTCTGCTACAACACAGTTATATCCAGAATGTATAATGGCATCCAAAAATCAAAACAAGACAGTACAATATATATATAAATATATATAAAGGAGAAGTGGGAAAAATAAGGAAAGGCAGTGATCTCGGTGGAGAGTTGGGAAAGAGTGTGTCGGCTACAATGGAGGTCAACAGGGTCAAACATATGGCGTGAGTTTTGTTGGAAGAACATAGTGAGATTTTTTATCACACCCATTCAGAAACTACATCAGGGTAATGGTGATTTTTGTTGGAGACCATGTGGCACTAGTGGAGCCAATCACTTTCATATTTTCTGGGACTGCCAGGTTATCAGAGAATTTTGGGAAGAAATCCATAAACATATAACAAATGTAATGGGGATGAATATTATCTTCAACTATGAATCAATGTATTTGGGAGATATCGGCTTTCACAATTGGAACAAGAATGATAAAAAATTGCTTTATGTACTACTGGCAGCTAGTAAAAAAACTATCACAAGAAAATGGCTTAAAGTAGAACCACCCACCATCGAGGAATGGATAGATATAGTACAAGAAATTTACATTATGGAAAAACTATCATTTTCCCTAAGAGTACAAACAGAAAAGTTTTATCGGATTTGGTCCAAATGGACTGAGTACACAAAACCTGTAAGATATGATTTCACTTGAGGCTATTTGTAATTTGTGACTATCCACTCTTCATTTAAAATACTTTTGTGTGTACCACTTGAATAAGTATTCTATTTAAGATTTTTTTTTTAATTTGTTTTCACTGTGTGAAACTGAGATGCCTCAGGAAGTGAGCTCCCCTGGTTCTGTTCACTGGATACAATACTTGAATGACTTTAAAATAACTTGGAAGAGCAGCATGGAAAAGACACTTGGACTTTCTGTAATCACCCCACCCAATTACCAAGGCGAATGGGGCGGATAAACCAAGGGAAAAGACATTTTAGGGATCTTGATTATCATGATTGCAATGTTGTAAATTAAACTGTAAATATTTTGCTTTTCCGAATAAAAAGAAAATTTCAAAAAAAAAAAAAGTTCTGCTACAATTATCCTGTTTTAAAATATATATTTTTGTGAAAATGTTGGCCCTTTAAAGATGTGTCACAGACTTCTGTCAACTCCATCACACATCGTTTAATCACAAAGAGTTATCTTCATCCTCAGGACTCCTGTCTCACTCCCTGGCTTCCTAAATGGTGGGAATGCTGCTGAAGTGGTGGACAAACTTTCTATTTTTTGACAAATTAATTTAATAATATTGCTATCAGTTGTGTCCCAACCCAACAGGTCAACTCTGTAGCCCTTCTAAATTAAAACAAAAAAAAATATTAATGGTTGTAAAAATTAGTATTTTGATTGGAATTAAATTAACTTAGCAACTAGGACTGCTATGAAATTAATAAATGTTACTTTTGTCAATTCTATAAGATGTCAACTATGTCAGAGTTTGCTTTCCTTTAACATTCTATCAAGATTTAGATTAGCTGATAATATCAATTAGCTGTAGCTCAATTTTTTTTTTTTCTGACTCTAAAATTACTGAACACAGAAAATAATACTCACCCCAAGAAATTAGGATGGAGACTTTACACTTGAGAGACAACTCCCCCATCTTGGATTCCTGTGGATCCTAGATTCAGGTCAGCTTCAGGAAATTTCAGCTAATGTGAAATGAAATTAAAGCAGACACCAGATAAAATACATTGAGATTAAATAAAGTCAGACTGATGCTGTCTCCCTACTCACCCAGGCTACAGATGCATCCTGCTTCACTGAACAGAAGGAAATGACCTCCCAGTATGAGAGACACTCACACAACACAAAACACACCTGTTCAGCAACATGGAAGATCAATAGGTCATTTAACTAGCAACAAAAGACTATTCAACACCTTCGGATGCTCCTGATTTGCATCCACGTTTTTCACTCATGCAAAGTACTAACGGGGGAAAAACGCAGATGATGTCATGCTTATGAGTGCAATAAGATGTTATGCTGTATAACAAAACACACCAACAACAGTTTGACGTTACATGTTTATTTTGGCATTAAGCATCAAGTTACAAAATGCAAATTAGTACAAAAAAAGCCATGAAAAAATAACGACAATGAAAAATATTGAAAGATAAAGCTCTTATACAAAACTAAGATCCCAAAATAATCTACACAGATACAGAAATAAAAATAAAGAATGCCTTTAAGTATACTTTCTTGGCAGTGTAAAAACAGAAAGTGGTTAACGTGGCTGACAGTGATTGGTCACATCAAACTGAAGTGCTGACTCAGTGATAAAACAGCATGATCTGTGGGTGAGAGGCCAAATATGACGTCATGAACTCATATCACATTCATCAAATTAGACAGGCAGTAGTTTTTTAAAATCTGAACTGAGTGGTTTGCACCTCATCACTATGTTAAAGGTGTTATTCTGGTTTTATTGTGCCCATGTTTGTACTGTTTTAAAAGTCTAAATTTTTGTCCAATTTCCCTGTATTTGTATGTGAAAATAACTCTTTTCCCTCCTCTCATTTTCCCTCTGCTGAATATAAAAGTTACTAATACTAAAAGGTGATTAGCTTGTGGGGTGATCCAGCCAGCCCCTCATCATCATCCCAAATCTACTGTTAATCTTCACAAAAATCATGACAGCATGTGTTCCCTGCAAGCAGAATCACCACCACTAAAGAGGCGGCGGCGACGACAGACAGATCCTTAAAAATAAAAAGGGCTAAATTGTATTTACAGCTCTTTGTGATGGAAAATAAAGTAAACGGAGTAAAAAAAAAAAGCCTGTGCGCTCTTTAATCTGGCCTTTCGTTTGTTCCTGTGTGTCTAACTTGCATTTTTATGCCCAAGGACATCTAATCAGAGCCGGACTGAAACATTTGTGCCGATCGGACCACCTGACACAACACCCAGGAGGAGAGCCAGACAGGGTGTAAGTGACTGAAGTTGCATGGGATGTGGTACAGTAATACAGCCACATTAATGGAGGTAAACATCCATTCAAGTCTTAGAAGTGTGACTTCAAACTCATGGCAGTGTCTCGTTTTATTATTATAATCCTTTGCAATGACATATGTGTCTTAACTGTGTAAAATCTGACCAAGCTACTACTTGAGTTCTTTTTAGCTCCAATAAAATCATAATTACTGTTCTGACAAAACATACAAAAACAAATGTTGATGACGAACACTCTTCAGTTTTCATCAGCTAATTCAGACTAACAATAATGCATCATAAATGACAGACATTTTTAAAAAGGAATCATTAAAACTCAAATGAAAATCCCTGCCAAGATTAACACTGATTAAATACAGTTCCTCCAAATTGTAAGTCCCACCCCGATATCCTGTTTCATGCGTGCGGGTGTTAGAGATCTCAAAGCCATTTTGCAGGACCTTTAAATGCAACGAGGTCACTGAGGAAGAGGCAGACCTGTTTACAGTGTGAACTGCTCTCTATCCGACCTTTATTCATTTGAGTACGGGGAAAAACAACAAGACACCGTACAGTACGTAGAGTACAGTAAATGGTCAGGCAGTACAGTTACTGAATCAAGTGTCGTGGCGTACTGAGGCAGGAGATGATTTGGGGGTTCCAATGACGAGTGAAAGCCTGACATTAACCCGATGGCTTGGAGGGAGAAAGACGGGACGTTTGTTCTCTTCTTAGTCGCTGTCGCTCCTCTCCCCTCTGTGCGGGAGTCGCTTTCCGCTGGAAGGCACAGCAAGCTCATGTTTCACAGACACCTTGGTCTTTGTTTTGCTGTGGAGAGAGAGCAGGATGAATCTAGTCAGTGTCAGAGATTACAGCAGATGTGACAGATTTGGTTTTATTTGAAATATTTTTAATGATGTAATAACCTTGGTTGACCTGTGGCAGGTGGGTTTAACTTAAAAATCACACACAGTGACTTCTAGTGGCAGGTGGTCTCTATTATTACACAGCAGTAGAGCTCAAGGTAAAATAAAGCTAAGGATGCTGCCTATGGACCATCTGAGAAGCACTGGAGCTGACCAAGTAAAAGACAGCAGTCAAGCTGTCACTCACATCTCATAGTCAAACCAGCTTCCGCTAGGGGTGGGCGATATATTGAATATACTTGATGTATTGTGGCTTGTTCCACATGGAATGTATAAATTGGCTATATTGCAAACATCAAGTATAAAGTAGTTAATTTTCACTTCTTAATTCACTATAAAAGTAAAGCGACTGTGAGTCACAAGAGAGACTACTCTGCTCATAGGTTTCACTTCCTCCGTGGTTATGTCCTCAAAAGCAGTTCAACAACTAGAGAGCTCTGGTCTTCTTCATATCTCACAACAAAAATATTTTTAGATGGCAGTCCCTGAAGCCAAATCTCATCACATGGGGATCTGTGACCTGATTTTGTTTAGTGGTCCTTCACACAAAAAAGGCTGAGAACCACCGGTCTCCAGGAAACACAAGTTACAAAATTTGTCCTCTGAAAGTAGTTCAGGTGGTTTTATTTTTCAGTTTGCACTTCTTACCTTTCTTTGTCAAGCAACTCCAGACCATCATTGATTTTCTTCAACATTTCGAAACGTTCGCGACCACGAACCTGCAGGGCAGATCAAAGGGGTATTAACCAAATAGCATGAAAAAAATGTGTAAAGATGTGCAGCTTCATGACAGCATGAATCTTTACATACATGCAGAACAAACACGTCCTTATCGTCCTCCTCTGCACTGGAGGTCGGCTTGGACTTCTTCACAGAAGTGGTGTCAGGAGCTGGAGCCGCAGCCGGGGCACTCTCTACAGAAACAAAGGTGAGGTTAGCAAGGGGACAGCAAGAAGGGGCGGAAACTGAAATATAAAATAATGCAGCAAAAACGTACTTCGTTTTTTGGTGTGTTTGGTGCCGTTCTGCGTCTTGGTGCTGTTTTCCTCTTCAGTTTTGCGATCCCTGCCTGGACACGCACAGACACGCACCTCAAAGCACCTTCGGCCCAAGACAAGTCCACTAGGAAGAAGATGAGCAGTAGTATGGGTCAAAATGTACAACAAATGAATCTGGGACATCCACAACACACGCATAACACAGGTAAAAATGCCAACCAACATGTCCAGTTACACTGTGGCAATCCCACTTCTCTATACGCCAAACTACCACCACCACCCTCACATCTGTTAAAAGAGAAACAAGACTTACTCTGGGGTCTCCAGGGTCAGGATTGTGAGGATCGGCCTTCTATTCATCCCCCCCATGCAGGAACTGTTGCACATGAAGCTCAGCAGGATGGTGGTTATCTCTGAGCCCAGCTGAAACAGGAAAAATAGAACATTTTTTATTCACTGCTACTTTAAGTGTTTATAATCAGGGGAAAAGGCAACCTTTTCTTCTGAACTCCTTATCGACACTTCAGGGTGTCCAAAACAGCCAATTTTTTGATTTGGGAAACATTCCTGAATAGTTGCAGAATTTCTGTACTTCATAGACATTGAATTTTCAAGCTAAAATCAGTGTTGTTTGCTCATATACTCACGTAGAAAATGCTTGAAGGTCACACATTAGGAAATATGATGGGATAAAAATAACTGCTGTAGAGTAGACACAGCAGACGTGTTCCCCCTCGGGACAGATCGAGTGGGGCAGTCGTACCTGCGGGGGCTCGTAGGGGACAGTCACACTCTGCCTCTTTGTGTGCGGATCCTCAAAATACTGAGCCCTCTGGCTGCCCTCCACTCTGATCAGATGGCTGCGGTGCTCGGCAGCTGAACAGGAAACAGATTAGAAAACATTAAAATCAGCTCAGATATATTAAGCCCATCAGATTCTTTGAGCAAAAGCAAAAAAAGAAATTTTCACTAAAACGTTTCCCTTACCGTCCTCATTCTGGTGATGTGGACATCTTCGGACCACGTCTGCAACATGTTCAGACTTCTTGTAAACTGCTGTGGCCCTCACAATAGCACCCACAGGAACGTCCTTCCTCACCAGGACTTCAATGGGGCTGGTCTTGGCTAGCTGGCAATACAGCTTGTTGAGCTGCTCGGAGTACTGAGAGAAAGAACAGGGAGAAAGCCCAACACGTTATTATCTGTGCACCCGTGGACCAATCACAGCCGGGATGGGGTGGGACATTACAATAAAGACTGACATGCTGCTGCAAAGTTTGGAAATGTTGAACTCCTTGTTACGCATGAATGGTTATGATTATTGATAAGTTAGTACTTTGCATTAACAAAATAGAGACAATCCAACAGTACAGATCATTTCTCTTGTACAAGGATTTAATGAAAGAACAAAACCTTCTTCTCCTTGTGTCTGCCTCCTCCAAAGAGCAACACATGTCCCTCATTCTACATCTATTTTACTTTAATTATTGTTATAAATATAGTTCAGCAATCTTGTTTACATAAAGTGTGCTGTGGTTTATGTGGGTGGTGGTGGTGTGCTGGTCTAAGTCAAACAGTCCGGGGCCGTTTTTTCATTCCCAATCCATCCCTGGACTCAAGCGCCAACCACCAGTCTAAGACCTGTCTCAGAAAAACTAAGTGCACTTTTATAAACACTAAAAGTTTCATATAACTAATTTTTCTTCTCTGAAAGACCAACAAATACTCAGGTAAGTCAAACTAAAAGACCATTTTTTTTTACCTTTCTTTCGTCCTTTTTTTAACCCATTCTGTGCTACAGGAAGACGGCGCAGGGACATGTCCCGTCATGTCAGAGCAGTTCTCTACAACCAGACAGCACCTCTCTCAGAGAGAGCACAAGTTGCAGGGGGGCGGGAGTTTCAGGAAAGACCAGCCTAATCTCAATAAAACTGGCCAACTGCAGCGCACTGCTGGGTGAGTCACCGTGGAAACATTAATGCCATTGGCTTTTCAAACGCAGTGCCTGGCTCCAGACTTTACAATTTAGCGAATTGTCACAATGAATAAGATTCCACATGAATACCACCACGAGAGATACGAAAGAATGGATTTTTAGCGCGGTGCCAAGGTAAGATTTTAAAACTTTTTCAATGTTTTTCACACTTTAAATAATTTTGTGGGTGATAAACACTTAAGGCCAGTGAGTGAGTTTACTGTTGTAAAACTTTTTAATTCCCAAACCTCAATTTTATTACGCTGTACAGTTAATTTGGATTTATTTTAGTGAAACGGGGCAGAGATTCTTCATAGGAAATAAACTAAAGACAAGAAACTCAGTTGAGGAGTAAATGGCGAAACTGAGCAGAAGCAGAGATCCCCTTTGTCTCTGGCGGACTCAAACTTCTGCTCCCTACCATGTTTGGTTGCAGGATAGTGTGCTGCAAGTCCTTACGAACTTTAACATCTACTGTCTAACATTTAAATTCTGTTTAATTCGGTTAAAATTATTCACTATGTTCATTAAGTACAAATGTTTTTTGCTGAAGTTTGTATATTTTGTCTCACATTGTTCAGAACAGATAAAACAAATTAGTTGTCTCATATGTAGCTTAAATATCCGTTGAAATGAGCTGTAACACATTTAGCAGTCAGTTTAACATCACGAGAAATCAACAAATATGTGGAATTTCTAAATTTTTAGATGTTAGGCCTTGGATTACTTACAGTGGAAGTGACAGACTTGGCCGTGCCGGACTTCTGAAATCGAAGTTGGAAGCCATATTCCCCTGGATAGTCTGTTGTAACCGGGACGGTGGAGGACGGGGGAGTAACACCATCTTTAGCAGACATCTCTGGGGGCAGCTCAAACAGATTTTCATCAAACCCTTCAGCAAGCACTTGGTCATTCATGAGCTGTGAAGGAGGGAAATGAGAGCGTCAGTCTGCCTCCATAAATAAATAAGCTCCGACTGAAGTTACCGTCAGAAAGCTTTCTCCTACAGTGATTCAATTCAATGTGTTTAAAATGGGGCATGGGCAGGTATGCTTACCAGCATATCCATAGGTCCATCTGTCCTCCATGCGCCATTTGCCGTTGGAATGGTGGAGATAGAGGGAGTCACTCTGCAAAAAACAAACATGCACAAATTGGTTAACTTGTTTTTTTTCTGGAGTAAACTGACAGTTTCAAAATGTTATCTACTATTAAAACTTAACTTACACAGTCTCCCAAAGCTCTCTGAAGGAGACCTGGCTCAGGGGCAGGCTCTGGCTCAGAGGCAGACTGTCGAACTCTTGCTCTTCCATCTTTTTTTTCACTCTCCTTTGCAGATGCAAAGACAGTGCTGTGGGGATAAACAGGAAGTGAATGTTAAACAACTCAGTCTCTAATTAAATTCTCCATTAGACTGGTCCCATGTTAATCAAGTGGTGTGTGCTAACATTTATCTTTATTAACAGTCTGCCTACTTTTTTGATCAACTGATTTATTTTTTAGTCAAAAGCATGTCTGAAAATAGTAAAAAAACAAAAAACAAAAAACAAATCCACCACATTATTCAAGAGACCAAATTGATGTTTGATGTGTGTGTGTGACCAACATCCAAATAAATTTAAATAGCATAAAGAAAGAGAGAGGCAGCAATTCCCCCATTTAAGAAGATAAAACCAGGAAATGTTGCCTTTAGTTTAATAAATGCCTAAAAAAATACGTCGATTATCAAAATAGTTTTCCTACAATTATTCTGTCGGTCGATCAGACGCTTGAATCCTTTTTAAATAGTCATTATTTTATAAAAATCAAATGAATAGGACACGGTTACGTTTAGCGTTGCTAAAGTGTAAAATGCATGGGTGAAACTTTTACACACGAATGAATGCTTAAGTGATAAATCCTGGTTGCTTCCATACAGGAAATGCGAGTTCCCTAAGTTCAATTTAAGTAGGCCATCTGCTCTGAGAAATGCTGACTAACGTTGGCGTTAACCTGAATACTTACGATTCAATTAAACACATATATTCCTGGAAACATCCACATTACAGCTATCTATACGTTTGAAATCGAAAACCATTTACCTGACTTCGCAACTAGCTCTCTTATCAAAACAAACCGCCGGAGAAACCATTCAACATGCTAACGTTAGCTACCGTCCATTTTCTGTCGAGCCGGAGGCCTGCAGGAACTGAATGAAGTTAGAATCTTCGGTCGTCGCGTCGGCACTTTCAAAATAACTCGACGAATACAACTTAACTAAAAGTCAAAATGTGCTGACGTAGAGAAAAAACTATCGACGGTAAAACAGGATTTGTCTCGCAATTAAAGCACACCCCAATTGTTTTGTTATCTAGCAAGCTTAGCATTAGCTTAACTAGCTAGGTACGTTAGCATAACGTTTTGGAATCCGAGTAACGTTAGCTTAAACTGCCGTAAAACTTTCTTTAACGGTCCAGTAAGTGGCCTTCGGGAGCCTGTTGTAAATAATGACACATGTATGACTACACAGCTACCTTTGTGTCCCGCAACTGCTGTCCAGGGGAGATGAGTCACTTCGATGTAGCTGAGGAGGCGAGAAGAATCGAGTGAAAAGTCAAAATATTTTGAGGTAAAAACGAGCACGTTGTCGTCGGGGAATCCCACAAAAAAGGAAAGGGGAGGGGCGGGTTTTTAAGTCCGCACAGCAGTCCAATCACAGAGCGTTTTGTTCTCCTGACGTGCGTAAACGCAACACTGCGTAATGCCACTGTTGCATTCATGTATCTCGACAATATTACAACTCAGGAGCCACCGTGCAAAACAAAGGAGTTGTTAAACAGGTCATGGCTGCACATTTGTAGAGTTATAAGAATTGTTTACGTGTACACGGTTGAATTGAGATTAAACTATATGTTAATAAGACTTATATTTACTTAAGTGTATTGCTTTTGTCGAATAACAATAGTATATTATTAATGTTGAAAAATACAAGCTTCAGATGAGCATCCGAAGGCAACATGATAACATAATGACGTATGGAAATTAAAAACGGATGAAAAAGTTGCCTTATATAACCCCCAGTTTACGGTAAATATACCCAGTTTGCGCAACATTTAGGCAGTTTTTTAATAACCAAAACGACTGCCTCGTTTACAACATTGCTTATTGAGCTATGGTGTTTCCTAGGGGATCAAAGAAGTGTTGAAAAAGAACTTTGATATATTAAGGACTGTCCCAGCAACAACATTTTTGTACTTTTAAGTTGCAAAAGCATATATTGCATAAACTCTACAGGCCAAACTATTAATGTCCACTGGGCTACTGCCAGTACATTTTACTGTAGTCCAGTGAAGAAGTTTAATCTTTTTTTCTTTCTTTTTTTTTTTTAATTAAAATTGAAAAAGCATCCCATGCACATTGATACTCATTAGCACACCTTGGTCTATGATATATTCCAAGGCATTACATAACTGAAAAATGCACCATAATCATATGTAACACCTGGGAGTTCCCATAAAGCTATATTTGATGGGTGACTGTGCTTCTTTCTCTCTCCAGGGAGGTCACAGGTCAACTTTAAAGCAGCGTCCCCTTACTTGAGGACTGTCCAGGATGACTTCCCCCTGCATGGTTTTGAACGGTCCTTCCTTTATACTGCAGATTGGGTTTAAACTAGAGTTTAAATCTGTTCATTTCACGCTGTTTAATGATTTCGTAATCTGCTCCTACAGGTTGGAAGATGTCGCCTCCCGTCACCCTTCAAATGTCCTTGTGCTGATTAGATAAACTTCTACACCACTGGGGACAGAGCTGCAGAGAAACTCTGAGCAGGACCTCTCTGAGGTGCCCGCAGCCGTGTTGGGTCACTTGTGCTTTGCTGCTGGCGTGTTGTCCTGACCTGGCAAGAGTCATATCCAAAGAGTACGCACTGAATGTTGGTTCTCATCTGTTTCTTTGGATGTGTAGGAGTAATTGGTGCCACTTTGGGGTTAGGTGGCTGTTCGACCTTTGAGTGAAAGTACTGATGGTGCCAGGAAGTCCACTATGAACTTGATCCCAGTGGCACACTGTTAATAGATACAATGGTGAGGTGTAACAGAACAGGACCAGGACAGAGAAGGAGAGGAGAAGCTGCACGATGTTGCAGCAGAATGTTGAACTAATCTGATATGAGGCAGGGAAAGATTCTGCATGAGTGTAAGTGTTTTGAATCCTGTCCAGTGGTTACCATGGCCACAGGGACACAGTCCTGATCTGTCAGTCAATCTACTCCTTATAGTGGTACTGTGTCTTGTGCATGTGTGGCTTGTCCTCAGCAGGGTTCAGCACAGTGTGTCCTCGCAGCAAGCACCCTTCCTTTTTAAATTCATTTTGAATTTCTCTTCTCCTACAGTCCACTGAAGAATATTACTATCTTTTTAAATATTCATTGTAATAAAGATACTTGTTTGGATTAATTTCTTCACTTTCATTTTTAATGCTTTTACAGTTTGGTCCCTAATAAAATGGTACTGAATGCACATCTACTGCTCTTTTTGAACTTTGCGAAAATCAGATAATGTTCATACTGTGAAGTGTGGTGGCTTCTTTTATTTCTGAGAGGTAGGACTTTAAAACAGGTCGCTCTCAGAAGCATAACTTAGAACAGCTGTTCCTAACTGGTGGCTCGTGGTCCAAAAGTGGGTCGCAAGTCCATTCTGAACGGACCACAGGTGACTCTGAAATGTGGTAAGTTTGTAAAAAAAATGCACTTTATTTTAAAGTACAGTAAATTTCCGACACAGAGTTTCCTCGTCCCTGACCTAAAGGTAACATACGAGCCCTGAGATTATCGAGTATCAGCTACAGGAAGGGGAGAGGGGAAGAAGAGGGCCCTTGTATTTGACACTGCCACTGGCCTGATCGTGTGAAGGACCCAATGCAACAGAAGTGGCAGTAAGTCACACACATGCAAGTCGCAAGCAAGTCTTAAGTCATAACCTTCAAGTCTCAACTAAGTTTTTTATGTTGAAGTGTGAATTGTTGGTTGTACAAACAAACATTATGAAGGTGTCACTTTAGGGTCTGGGTAAGTGTGACGCTATCTCTCACTATTTCCAGAATTTTTACAAACCAAACAATCAATCGATTAACGGAGAAAATAATCAGCAGATTAACCCATAATGCAAATATTCTTTAATTAATAGTTCATAATGAGCTCCACCTCAACTCAGTCAAATCCTGCTTTTACATTAATGCAAGTCACGATAATCTCATGAGGTTATATGTAGTCGTGCACTACAACAGTCACAGAAGACATTTTTACAGTATGTGTAATACTTAAGTACATTTTCCTGGTTATACTTCCATACTTTTATGTAAGTAACATTTTAAATGCAGGAACTTGTGACAGAGTTACATACACACACTCACGGATAGTGAACTCATGTTTGGACAGCAGGCAGAAGCAGTCGTCACACACTGTGGCAGTATCAAAACCTCTTACAAATCAGCGAGAGCCTGAGCATATAAAGCTGGCAGCGCATGTATCGGCTCTCACAGTTTGTTTTCAGCTCAAATAATGTTAATTAAGTAACTGCATGAACCCTCAAAGCAATAATTTATTTTTTTATTATATTAACCCTCAATGTAAGGAACCTGGCAGCTATAAGGTTCCACCAAGCTCCTCTCCTGAAGGGCCCGGGTAAGGGTCCCTACACAGGTTATCCTACCCTGAGGTGTAGAGTGTGTGAGCCTGTATCAGTTGTGTTGCCGTAGTGTGAGATGGAGCTTACCTCTCCTGGGCTCTAAGACGAACTTCTGAAGTAAAAACCCTGTCAGTTCTGTCAATAAAGGCCTTTCTTTCAGATACAAATAACATAGAAAAGGGTAAAAATTGATTTAAATCAAAGAAAAACATTAAAATCCAAAAATTATAAGGATTAAAGGAAAGGGTACAAATAGTTGAGCTGGCCTGGATAGGTCTTAGAAGCCCTTAAATTGGGCAAATCTGATTTTGAATTTGGATTTGTCATAATGTATCACCTAAATTTGAGCCTCTTTATTTTTCAAAAGTGATCAGTTCAGAAACCGGCTGACATTAACCGCTTTGGTTTCCTGTTCACGGCCTTGCAAGAGAGTCAGGGCCCTCGGGAGTGCAGTTAACTTTCACTGGCTATGAGTTTCACAAAGGAAGCTTTATCTGTCAGAGACTGGGTCTCACAAAGCAGAAGAATTTGTTTATGTGTACTCCTGACGTCGTTCCTCTGTGGTTTCAACCTGACTTCCTCTGATATGCAGTGCAGTATAACACAGATTGACTATGAGTGCATTATAACCACCCTTTCAATTCTTAACCAAGCACACTGATATATCAGTGCTCAAGCTTGCCAACTTTATAAAATCCTAGAAATAAAAACTTCGAATAAAAAGGTATAAAAGTATGAGGGGCCACACTTTACAAGACGCCAATGTGGCCCCAAAAGTAAAGATAGGCTGCAAAGCTCAAACACACCATCTTAGGTGATAGTGTGGACACATTTCCTAGCGGAGATAATTCTCCTTAAGATATTCTGGTGATGTGTTTTTGGTATTTTTTGGTATTGTTCCCTCCTCAGGTTAGGGTAGGTAAACCTCCATAACAGCCTATAAAGGCCTACTGGGCCACCGTCCAGAGCCCGTGAGGACTCCAGTCTATGGCCTCAGTTTAATATGAGGCATTGCTGTAAATTGTTAGAGTGGGTGTGTGTTTCCATATGTGAATGTTTATATATCATCATATGTCTGGCCCGATATACAATACTACTCTCCTACTCTGGCAAATAGTGAGATGTTAATTGCACAGTTTTCCAATAGTGTCCACAGTACATGGAATCTATCCAATAACCCATCACTAACATTTGTGTCTGAGATATTTGAACATGGTAAATTAACCTAAACAAGCCTAAATTACACACTCCAATAAGTTATTTCAGTAACACTTTACTTGAAGGTATCTACATAAGAGTGACATGACACTGTCATAACTATGACATGACACGGTCATGTACTTGTCATTAATATTATTTACATGTCATAAACTTTTATTACTGCTGTCATTAAGTGTCATTTGGTTTTTGTAATGACAAGTTGACATTGTTTGGGTTGTCTTGATTATGACAACTTGACATTAATCAAAGTGACATTACCAGAAGTTGTCTTTGTCATGATAAGTTGGCATTAACAAGAAATGCATCTTTTTTGTGTTTATGACAAGTTGACATAATGATTATTATTGCTATGACAAAGACATCTTCCAGTAATGTCATCCTGGTTAATGTCAAGTTGTCATTATAAGGACATCCCAAACAAATGTAATGTCAACTTGTCATGACAAAGACAACTTCTGGTGTCTAATGTCACTTTAATTAATGTCAAGTTGTCATAATCAAGAAAACCCAAACAATGTCAACTTGTCATTACAATAAAACCCAGAATGACACTTAATGACAGCAGTCATAAATGTTTATGACATGTACATAATGTTTATGACAAGTTCATGACAGAGTCATGTCATAGTTATGACAGTGTCATGTCACCCTTATGTAGATACCTTCAAGTAAAGTGTTACTGTTATTTCCATGGCCAAGGAAATTTACATTCTCTCAAACCAGAAACCAGTGATGTAAGTGTCCAATCTGTGATGTC